GTATTTGTTTCTTACTCGTCACTTAAATGGATTACTTTAACTAAAAACTACCTATGTATATTTTGCAAACAATTTCAGAAAAGACGGATTGTAAATGTCCTACAGTTTTATGAATTTAAATTGGCTGAGCTTTTAATTTTTAAAAAATTAAACTTTAAAATGTACATTTTTAAATATAATAGTAGGACATAAATAGCCTTTATTATTTAAAAAAAATGCAAAATTATCCAAAAACACTTCCGACACATTCGCAACATCGTAAATCATGAAAGATTCATTACAAAAAAGTTAATGTTTTACAAATTTCTTAAATATGATTATTATTGAAACATTTTGCATAACTTTTTCAGTATTACAAGTACCATATAAGGAATTAAATGTACAAAAAAAAAACACTTAAACGAACACTTATAGTACATTATTTTACAATTTTAACAAGTCAAGACAAAAGCTCTACCATATCATAGGAATAAAGGGTAGAGGAAACATCATAACATTCACAAAAGTACAGAGAAAGCATTGAAGTTATTAATGGTTGTTTTATTTACATATTTCCTTAAATGTAAAACGGCAATGTTGTCAAAATAGTTGATAAGAATAGGAGAATAAACACCTATAAGCTGAAATGACACAAAAAGAAAAATTGAACCAAATTATAATTCTATCTTAAAAGGGTTCAACATAATCGTATACACTTCATACATATATATATGTACGAGTGTGTATGTATGCTTACTTATTGAAATATAAAAAGAATTTATGAAACATTATAGTTCCCACTTTTCTTCTTCCGCAAGCAATTTCCATACAACTTTTCATTAGAATTTCACACTAGCTTGTTGGGAGATTATTTATGGCAAGGTGGCGGTGCCGTCTGGCGAGTCGCAGCTGCCTTTCAATGGATGTAAATGGCATTGCAATAAAACGAAATTAAATTGCTATTTTGCATACATATTATGGCATGTCCTGCACACACACACACACACAGATGCACACACAAGCGCATAAATTCATATGAGCTTTGTCTACGTTCCAGGCAGAGGGCAGAACAACAACAACAACAGTTGTCGGCAATCCTTTGACAGCAACAGCTGCTCGGCCATCGCCAGCACTACCCACTATCGAATAGTTTCCCAGTTGGGTGGTCTAAAATATTTTAATTGCTCATAGCGCTTTTATTAAAATGCATAAATTAATAGAATTTTGGGCCCGCAGCACCTTTATGACTCACATTTATATTCGTATGTATGTATGTACATACTCGTGTGTGTTTTGGGTAAAAGGGTTCTCTAAGCACACAATTTGTTCTCATGGCTTATGGCGAAACAATTACAGAAGATTTTTTAGAGAGGGTCGGTCACATACATATGTTCATGCATGTGTGTACGTGAGTGTGTGTGTGTGGATAGTACAAAAACTCACTCACCCTCCAGTTGACAAATGCACTCAAAATGACCGCAATTATGAGAAGCTAAACTACTCTCTATTCGCTAATATGAACAAAGAGTGTGACCAAAAAGAAAGTTTTGCGGTTTCTGTTGTTGTTGTTATTGCCTTTCTTAACCGCACTACAAATCAGGGCAATTAATATTAAGTGGATTATTATTTAATGACCAGTGCACGCATCATGTACAACCACCACATGGACAATCAGATGGGACGCTCCCATATGTGTAACAACACACACACACTTAATGGATATGGCTACTTATGCTGATAATACTCTGAGTCCCATTGCCATTTATGGTATAAGCTGAGCGAGTGCTCGTCATATTCTAATTACGCCATCACACGCAGTTATTACACGGATTTGACGAGCTCTCTCCCACTCTCCCTCTCTCGTTCTCTTAAGGCTTGCTGGCGGGTTGGGATCACCTATTCAGCTACAAAAATAATCATTTTGGTGTCCACATTAAAATGCCAAATTGACGATCATTTTACGTGCGAGTGTGCCATTCCACTACAAATTCCCATAAATTGGCATACAAAGGCCATATTGAATGACCCGTCGCTAATTGATAAATGGTTTTTATGCGTGGGTGGGCGATATGCAACAAATAAGTAACGGTTATTGCCCAAAGGATACTGCTCAGAATACAACACAGTGGTGGTTCCTGGAAATTAGGGATGCGGTTTTATGAAATAGAATTAATATGCACAGTTCTTTTCTGGCAACTATAAAAATCTTTAAGGCGGCAATCTCTATCCTCATCTTATTCTTTATACGCGTTTATATGTTTTTGTTTTGATCCCCTTTAAATAAAAACTTAAAAACATCACAAAATACATATTGTCGTTAAATCAAATAGTCAAAACAATCAACATTAAACTACTTGTTCCTGATAATTTCATTTGTCTCATAAATTGGGCGAATGCTAACTTTGTCTAAGATGGTTGACTTTCGATATTTGCTTTAAACTCAGTGAAGGATTCGTTTTAATTATTGTTGAGCTTTTTATTAAATTTAGCACTTTGTGATCGTCAATTTTAATTTTTAATGTAGCTTATTAGTAAAAGTTAAGCACTTTCGAATTTGATGGAAATTTTCGTATTTACGCAACGAATTTTATTTGCACATGGCGCCAGAACTGATAAGTACTTGTAGAAATCACAACGCATTTTACAAATTACAACACGTCAGTAAACACATATGTATGTATGTATACTAGTATATTTTTATTAATATGCTTCCAATTTCGAGCAACAATGTGGTTATTGTTGTTGTCAACAGAAAAACTGATAAGCAGAAAAACAACTGAAAAGTGCGCAAACGAAATCGCCATTGAAACCACGTAATCAACTCTTTCTCTTTGTCTCCAGGCACTTAGTCAGCAGCCATGATGGCTGCCTTTAATATGGATTCCACTTATACTGATAAACCCGGATCGTGTGCAATTAGAAGCTAAGAAGCGCATCGATGACGTGTATATTCCCTAAACGGGTGCAAAAAACGTGTCTATAATAAAATAATAAGTCGTCATCGAATATATTTCCGATAAGATAAACATCATAAGTATTCGTAGCTTTGTCTATTTCAATGTTCTTGTTGTTGGCGGTGGGAAACCCGGAAATTATTTGCTGAATTGTTGAGTTTGATGAGCATTTAAAACTTTGATAAGTATATGCTTTTAATCTATTTAATGTCTAAGAAAATCTTCGACAAAAACTTTGAAATTTCAAGAAATGTTTTTATTATACTATTTAGTTTTTATGGAGATGTTCCTGAAAGAGTAGTGTAAAATTTCTTAAGAAACCATATACGATATTTATTGAAAGTTTGCTAATTAATATTAATATTAATTAAATTAAATTATTAAATTAATATTACTTATGAATCTCCTCACTAATCTAATTGACTAGAGATGAATATTTCAAATAACACAGAATGGATATTTTGGCGAAATTATATTATTGAAATATATAAATGTGTAAAGGGGCGGCGCCGAAGGGGAATATGAGAAATGATTGATAGTTGAAATGAGATTTTTTTGTCAAGATACAAGCAAGCGCCAATCTTCTATTTTACGTTATTTAGGAGGAAGGCTGTGTACATGAACCAAACACTTCTTCTTGGTCAGATGGAACGAATTCTCGATGAATAATTCGCTTAGCACAACATCCAAATTTACTTTTGACACCCCAAAAAGAATCCTCTTTGTCTTTAGAATTCATTTCGCTAGTACGAATTTGATGTAGTTTCAAAATATTTCAAGTCGTTTAACATTTCCGAATAGTACATTTTAATTTACATTTTTAAAAATCTAACGGGACCTTTCAAAGGTGAAGATGTCCTCATTCCACAAATCCCGTCGAACCCTACCGATATGTCTATCATTTGAAAATATTGCTATTCCAATTAACAAGGCTCTCGGATTCAATGTTTAGAACTGTTTAGTACTACTACATATACATACTACAAGTATGTTTGCGTAGTCCACAGAAATGTTCTATAAATATTCAAGAATTAAACTTTTAGAAAATGTATGCTTAGTTTTATTTCCGTTCGGTTACAGGTACATTAATTACTATATATAGTAAAACAAGAGAGAACGCTACAGTCGAGGAAGCCCGACAGTAAAATACCTTGTACCCCGGTAAGCTTCCGACACTGAGGTATATGCGCCTTTAGCAGAAGCAAAAGGAAGAAGAAGAGCGAACTTGATGCTGCAGCTTGTGGGCGTAGTACCGTAGTGAAATTGGTTCACTAATAACTTTTCTTAGAACTAACCGATTTAGATGAAATTTGAAACAAATATATTTATGTATAAATGATGTGTGCAAAGTTTGGTTTAGGTAGCTTTTGAAATGTGGACGCTATTGACTAAAATTAAAAAAAATAAAAAAAATAAAATAAGCTCGTCTTTTCTCGGACCTAGACGAATATGGATTCCAACTTTGGTTATTCCAGCTTTAATAGTTTCTGAAATCCTTGCGTTCATCCAGACAGACGGACGGATGGACATGTCTATATCGATTTCTCTCGTCATGCTGATTCAGAATATATGTATATGCTTTATGGGGTCGGCATGTTACATACTTCGCACTAACCTTATATAAAGGAAGAGTCCGAATTATTAAGTAGAAATCAGCGAAGTTCTCTGATAACTCGAGTTAGAGAGAATATCCAACCAGATATTTCCGTGCATATATCTTACTTATAGTTACTTACTTAGTTATACTATATATGCAGATATACATAAGACTACATACCAATAAAAATACATTTATGCAACGGACTTACCGTTGTGATAGCCATACTAAATGGATTGCTTTTGTTTTCAAAATTATTGCAGTTCTCCCTCCCCTTACAATAATAACCCACTAGAAACTTTCCTTGTCTATGAGAAATAATTACTCGAGTAAAGTAAAACAAAGGCAGAAATAAATCAAACAAAATAATGCGTCGGCTTCCGTCGGTTATCAGGAAAATAAATAGCAGTAAAATGTCAGAAATATAACACCAGACACCCCATAAATACATACAAAATGCATAATCTGTGTTTGTTTAACTAAATATACTTTTTATTTGTTATTAATTTAACTCGGTTATTGTATTCAGTTTAAAGATACATTTGTTCAACCGAACTGCTTACTTAACTTTTATTATGCGCCTATCACAATAATGTGTGAGTGTGAGGGAGAGAGGGACAGCAGCAAATGGCAAATAAAAATGAAATTCAAATATAATAATTAACAGCTGGGAATTTGTTGCTTGCTGTGTTGCTGCGCTGCGATTTATTTAGAATGCAAAACAAATCAATATTTAGAAACGACAAGGAAATTACATATCGAATGAAAGTCGCAGGCAGTGCGGAAATTTTGTGGTTAAATTTGTTTCAGGCTGTGTATGTAATACTTAAATATCGGATAACAATTACAACAGAATGGTGAATTTTGTATGGGTTTCGATAACAGCTATTAATTGGAGTTACAGTTCCAAGCTCCAAGGACTTATTGCTTCTGCAGGAACTCGTCGAACAGATAGATCGACAGGGATGGATCGGGCACCTTCATTAGCTTGGCCAAGTCGTTGGCATAGCCCGACAACTTGCGCACACTGTCGGCCTGTTTGGGCAAGAAGCTCTCCTCCAGGTAATGGGCCAATTCGGGATCGCGCAGGGCCGCGTGGGTGGCGCGAGTGTGCACGTGAGTGGCGCCAGTGGCCAACTGCTTCTCGTTGTCCAGGGCCAAGGCGAGCGAGTGCAACTCGTCGACCTCCAGAGTGGGGCGCTGGGTACTGACCGAAGCGGGCGATTCATGGCGAGTGTTGAAGTCCACAATGCCACCGCGACTAGTAATCTTCTTGATCAGATCGATGCTGTCATCAAACGAACGATCAGAGAGACCCTGGTACAGCTTCTGGAAGCCGGGGCGATTCTTCTGGTACGAGTTGAAGTGGGTGGCCAGCAATAGATATTCATAGGACTTGGTCAGCTGTGAGTTGATGTAGGCCTGCACTTCGGGTTCAATGCTTTCAATGCCGGCAAAGCGAGCATTACAAATGGATGTGCCTGTGTAAGGAAAAAGAGGCGGGTTGCAAGGTGAAGGGAGGAAAAGTTAGTGGTGACAAAGCAATAGAAACAAAATAGCTAAGAACACTAGACAAGAGATACCCTGTACATATTCTAAATTATTTCCTGTATGCGATAAAACCCAAGAATATGCATTTTAGTGGAAATACAATTTTTCGTCTCAGACTTTTCGACCAATTTTAGTAGTATATATTTTCATACCATGTAGTCTGATTTTAATTGTTTGCATTTATTTATTTTGTTTAGTTTTTATAGTTCCGATTTATTGAAGTGTAGAAGTCAGAAATCAAAGCAAATATATGTACATACATGTATGTTTGTATATATACATACATACATACGTATGTATGTACCCTATCGCGTTGAGTACAGGGTATCGAAATTATTAGCATTTGGGTGGCTACTAAGGAAGTCAGTCATAAATTATTATGCTTACTTTCGCCCGTGAAAAAGCCAGTGAGTGCTTGTTTATTTTCAAAAGAATATATTTTAAAAAGTAATATGCATAAATGAAACAGGTTTAATTTTAAAATGCAACTCACTCTTACACACACGCACACATACAAACATATGCGCACACATTTGTACTTGCGCTCTTTACCCACTCTCTTCGGCGTACTTACCAGAGAAACTTGAAGAGCCACAGGCAGAGACAACGCTATTGCGGCAGACTCCCTCCTCGTTTGCCTGAGCGAGAGCACAAAGGCTCGCAACCAAAGCAAATGCAATGAACGATTTCATTTTTGTTAAATATTTAGTGCTGGAATTGAAAAACAATTTTACGAAATGTTGCTAAATTAGTCAAATGTTTGTGTATGTTTTTATGCTTAAATGCGACAGCAAAATCTGTGACGTCTTGTTTTGCTTTTTGCGTCGCAAATATTTTCTTGAATTTTCTACATTCTCCACGAACGTACCCACCACCAAGCTGCTTCGAAATGTTGTTCGTAAATAATTTCAATCAGAACGTTTCTTTTGCTTTTAATGGTTTGCCACAAACGCAGAATTGAAAACTAACTAATGATAACAATTGACAGACTTACTTCGTGCTTAGTAGCTGCTTAAAGTTGTCACAAACGTAATTCAATTGAAAATGTTAATTTGTATTACTCTTCTTTCGTGTGTTGCTTGTTGGAAAGCAAATCGTCAACTGCTGTTTATAGCGTCGCGCTCGTCTCGTTTCTATGCGATCGATAATGCCTTGCTTGTTTGTGAGTGTGTTGGTATTTTCTTTTGCACTCGCCGCTCTGGCTTGTCAGTCAAAAACATGGCTGCGTATTACGTTGTTAGTGTTGTTTTTCTTTTGTGACTCACTCTCGTGCTCTTTTTGCACTCCAAGCAGCCTAATCTAGGGTTGTCAGCGTGTGCAAATCTCCATCTAAAATGTATTGTAGCTGATGATTATTATCAATTTGAAGTGGGATATGTCTGGTGGTACGACGTTTTTATCTATTTTTTTAAACTACAGTGACTTGGTTTTATGATTATGTAACCCAATGGTTGATAAAAGTGGCAAAGGAAAATTAATGTAAGCACTAAGCTTTATGAACGCAATTTCTACCGCCAAGTTTTGTCCTTCCTGTGGTATATTTTGTGTTCTTAGGATTTGATTATGTTTAGTTTATACATACACTCTTTGGAATTTAGCTTCAGATACATCCGTAATTTGTTCAAATAATATTAAATAATATAATAAATAACACCAAATAATATTAAATTTAAATATTGGCTGTTTTGTACCAATTTGTATTGCTTTAATCTCAGCAAAGATATTTGCCATACATATCTTCTCTTACTGGCATTAAGACATCAACTCATGATAGTAGCGCGCTTGGCAACCCATGACGTGTATTTTTCCATATACAATAACAAAACAAAAACAAAGAACAGCTGACTAATGCACTGTGAAATTGAGCGGCCATTGGTCGGCCATATTGGACTGAACTTCAATTCAGAAAAATCAAAATCACCACAGATTTACATTGAGAACGTGTGTATTAATTTAAGTACGCCTAACAGCCGACATATTAAATTATCACATACTATTATACGAATTTCAACGATGGCAGCTTTGACGACATGTTGAATAGATAAGAGCCCACACTTGCACAGAAACACACACACTCAAATATTCCCATGCTCTTTGTGAGCGAGCTCGCTGTTACGGAACCTTTAAAAGTGTTTTGCCCGACGCTGACAACGACAGTTCGAGTTCACATTTCATATAACGAACAGAGTAAAGACGCGTAAAGCAGAGATTAAGATTGTCAGAAGGTACTGGAATAAAAATACTAATTGAAAATACAAAAACATTATATCGGCGGCAAACAATTCGATTGAAAGCAAGCGACGCCTTCTATGCCAGTGTGTATAAAGGCAACTTGACAGACAAACGAAAGGCCCAGAACGCATTCAAATTCATTAAACTCGGCCCTTACTAGCCTATTGTATTGTCTTCTATTTAACCATTGCTAAATTTACCGAAGTGCTTCATTCTTATTTGTGCATTCGTAGAGAGCACATAAATTGAATTTCGATTAACAACTGAAAGTGAAAATCTGTTCTGTGATTTTGTGTAAAGACATCAACTTACAATCCGAAGAACAACAACAAAGATGGTGAAATTTATTGCGAGTATTTTGTTGCTGGCTGTTGTGGCGCAGCAAGCCTATGGCGACTTTAAATGTAAGTACATACCTTTCTATATGTGTAAATCAATCTGCAGTAAGTATGTACATATCTGCAGATATTGTGAAATGTGCATTGCTATTAACCTTAAACAAAACAAAATCAGTCGAATATATAAGAAAAAAAACAAATTTCGACGCAATTGAAATTATTTCAAAGGCTACGCACACATACAAAGGTGTCTAAGAGAGCGCTACATTGAGAGAGCGTAAATTCATGCGCATTAAGTAAGAGCGGCTACAACCGTACATTGCTCTTTACAAAAAATAAAAACTTCATATACAACTTTTTTAAATTAATTCAATAATTGCTTCCGTTTTGAATTAATATAAACCAGTTTTATGGCTTCTTTTGTTCAATTTTTGTTTGATTTTATAATGCGGAGTTTAGTTTGCTTGCTTGTTCCCATTTTCATACCGCAAAAACATGTGACAAGGGTATGGCAATAACAAAGTAGCAAGGCAAGCCCAGATTAGAAAATTGTTTTGCACACGGCCGCAAGTCATTGCGAGAGCTCACAACAGTAGAATATGAGAGAGGTGGCTGAGCATGTTTTGCACACGGCACCACATCAAAACAAATGCCGTTACTGCTGAGGTTGCCATGGCGATGACTGCGCTGCCATGAAACTGCGCACGTTACCAACAAAAGTGCAACCGCATGGCTAAGAATGATAATGAGAAGACAAAACAAAGAGCATGATGAAAATGAACGAATTACACACGTAACTGCACTTTTGTATTTCACACAGAAGCCTTATGCAATGCTTGATAGCAGATTTTATAGAATAAACCCAACCTTAACCCCACAGTACCTAAGGCTAGAAAAGTTACCGAAATTAGCAAAACCAGTAATGATCCAACCAATAGCGTTATGAAGGAGCTCAAGAAACAAAACAAAAATGTTATTTTAACTCATGCTAATGCAGGTCAAGAAGAAGAACTGAAACATAAGTTAATCTGTATGTCTATATCTCTTATAAGTATATGTAGATATAATGTACATATTTCAGAATCTTGGCTATCATGTTTAGCGCTAATCTTTCGATTTACCTATAAATAGGCTCCTTGGAGGTTCCCGAAATACCTAAAGCCTGGTTGGACATGAAGGATGCCTGCATTTCTGGCATGCGTCATCAGATCCAGGAGGAGATTAATGCCTCCTATCAGTATCTGGCAATGGGCGCTTACTTCGCACGCGACACAGTCAATCGTCCTGGTTTTGCCGAACAATTTTTTAAGGCCGCCAAGGAGGAACGCGAGCATGGCTCCAAACTGGTTGAATATCTGTCCATGCGCGGTCAGTTGACCGATAATGTCAGCAATTTAATCAATGTGCCGGTTAGTATGCTAAAACACTTTATGTAAACCTTCGTAGCCGAGAAATAATGTGGTCCCAACCCATTCATTGACAGACCGTGGCCAAGCAAGAGTGGAGGGATGGTGCCAGTGCTTTGGAGGATGCTTTGGAGCTGGAGATCAAGGTTACCAAGTCAATTCGCAAGCTGATTGCCACCTGCGAGTCCAAGCCATACAACCATTACCATCTGGTCGACTACCTTACCGGTGTCTATCTGGAAGAGCAGCTCCATGGCCAACGCGATCTGGCCGGCAAGCTTACCACGCTCAAGAAGATGATGAGCACTCACGGCGAATTGGGCGAATTCCTGTTCGACAAGAACTTGTAAGGTGCCATGCCCGGGGCCCCAACTCATTCTTTAGTTAATGATGCAACATTTATACTGTGCCCAACAAAAAACATTGTATAAGTTCAAAATTGTTTGTTAATCTTCCCCTCCATCCATTCTACACATGTCTATCATTCTGTTATTAAAACTCTCCATAGCGTAATATTTAAACAGAAGATTCGTTATTTCTAAATATCTATCTAAATATTTGCCCAAATAAATTAAAGTAAATGCCGTTCTAAATCGGTTTCTTCAACAAGCACAGTTTAAAATATATAAAACATGTTTTCTTTCCGTTCTAACCTAATCATCGGACTCTTACAGCGAGGGCAAATATTTATCAGTCTTTGCGATTGTGATTAATTTAGAATACTATTTATGTTTCGTTATCGCCTTGAGAATACAAACACACAAACATTTCTGCCTGCATTGATCAACAACTGTAATAGATTATTCGATATTTTCTATATGTATGTATATGTAGTTATTAAGTCGCTTATTTAGGTAGACGTTCATGTGGAGTTTAAAAAATAAAATAAAAATGTAATACCAACCACAATAAGTATGAATATCCGCTGTCAATTAGATGAGCGTTCTCTTGAATAAAGACCGATAAAACTATTTTGTTTATATTGTTTTCAATGTTTGGGTCGGAAAGTGGAGCTATTCCTGAGGGACTGGGAGAGTGAAAGAGTGTATACTTTCCTGTAAAATTCAGTGAAGGCGGATCAATGAAAATTTAAGTAGCCGGAGTGATGGTGAATAATCTAGACTTGGACTCCAATGTTCGACTCAGATATTGCGACTTGATGAAAGAATCCGCCTTACCTCGGGTTTTTTTTGTTGTGATTTTCCGCCATTTAATGAATCGATGAATTTAATTCTATTACGCAATGATTAACGCCTATTGTTAAACGCATGTGAATGGATCGTGTTATCCTAAAAGGAGACGTATTCTGTAGATAAAATTAGGGTACAAGATAATGCGATGAGATAAGTGGTTTACTTATGAAGAAATTGTACAAGAAAAGTCGTTAATTTTCATTTAATTTTCAAGAAGTGCTCTTTAGCAAACGTAACAGGTGGTGTTCTCTTATCAACCAACGAAAAAAAAACTATGATATAGTCTTGGCAAGACTTACAATAGTTGCTTGCATTGCTCAAGAATGTAGATGTTTACACACCCAGAAAAAAACACGTAATTTCTGGTTTTAAAACAAGATAGAACGCTACAGTCGAGCAAGCCCGACAGTAAAATAGCCTGTACTCTCCACAAAAACGAAAAATTAAAAAAAAAATTTTTTTTAAATTAAATTAATAAAAAAATGAATGAATTAATTAAATTCAATTAGAATACATGTTTATGTTCAGTTTAAACAGCATACATTTACATCACGTAACTATGCGTGTTTATATGCGTGTATGTATGCAGCACAAAGTTGAACAAAAGCAGCAACAACAACAACAGCTGCGGGCAGTGCTGCCGACAGAGCTGCAGGCAGCGCATGAGCAGCGATTTTATTTATGGCTATAACTTTCTTCAGAATTAACCTATCATGATGAAATTTGGCACACGGACACATTAGTACTAACTGGATGTACCTACCAAAATTGATTTCCGAGAATTACGGAAGTTATAAGAAAAAACACGAATTGCGGGGGAGTGGGGGGGTGCATCGAAAAAAAGCTCAAACTCGTACTTTCTCGGTCTTAGGAGAATCTGTATAGTTTGGTTATTCTAGCTCTTATACTTTCTGAGATCCTTGCGTTCATACGGACAGACAGACGGACGGACGGACAAGGCTATATCCACTCGGCTTCTCATCCTGATCAAGAATATATATACGAGTATTCGTTTTTGAATATCAAATAATTGGCTGCTCTCTAAAATTTATTATTATTTATTATCTTGCTATTAATATAGTACGACCGTGTTATTTAAAGAATCTGCTATAAAAAAAAATCCTACTTAAAAGCACTTGGGCGTATTTTTCAGTCAACTTAGAATACATACTTGTACGATAAATATGTTAACATTTAAATTACGGAATGCATAAATTCAAGCATAATCGGTCTAGAATTTTACGTTGTTCAAAATCTGTACTCTATGGTCACGTTTTGCAAGCCCATTAAGCTGGCAGCTAAAGCAACCTCGATGAGGTGGGGACTGCTAATGTTTTGGCCACATCGCATATTCCCTTTGATAAACGCCCCCATCAGACAAATTGACCCTTTCTTTCAGGGGCTAATCTGATTTGGCAATACAAAAAGCCAAACATTAAATGTGCAGCGTGTGTGACGAGAAAGAGTGGAGTGGGAGGGTCGATGGGGTGGGGTAGATGGGAGAGTACAAGGAATAATTCATAAGTCAGTTGTAAAAATGTCGTGCAGTTCTTTCAATGGTCCAGTCCTGAATTTATCATGCTTTTTCCCTGAGGCAAGTGGGCTAATGTGCGGCTGTGTGTTCACCCTTTTTTTTTGCCCGATGTCCTTGCTATCGACGATGATTGACAGGACATGCCAGGCCAGTCCATGCATTGAATTATGATAAATTGTGGCAACTGTCAAATGGCGGTGATGATGTTTCTTATTTGTGTTTTCGCTTAGCGCAACGGATTGCGAATTTTGAGCATCTAGATGGGTGGGTGGGCTGTGCAGGCGAGCAAGCATGACCACGTCCATGATTTGCCAAAGGCGGGGCATTTTAAACAATTTTATAAGCTAATATTTGAACAGATGTGTGGCATACGAGCAGTAAGGGGTTTGAAGCATTGGGTCTGCATTTCTATACCCTATATCCAAAGAGTTGAAGGCCAACTACTTTATGTATATAAGAGATAGAAGAAGGCGTATCAGACTTTGTTTTTAGGTATATTTACGATCAGACTAATCGACATTGCCATTTCTTCATTTATCTGACCAGCCGTCCGTCTGTATGAACCTCGAGAACTTTTGAACTGCAATAGCTAGGGATACAAAACTTGATGCGTCGACTAGTCTCATTCCCACGCAAAACAAGTTTATAAGAAATCATGTGTAGCCATAACATTACTTTATATAGTTGTCATAGAACCGGTCGGTGGAAATGACACACCTAATAGAAGAACATTTTTTGTATATTCGTATATCTTTAATCAGATTTCATATCAATGAGTTTTGTTTCAGTATATTCTGAAGTTTCTTCCAAATCGGAAAACAATATCAGATAGATGCTACAAGAAACTTTATATTAATTTTAAACGTGTTGAGTATACATTAATCGGTTTGGCGCGACATTAGAGTACTACATACTTTATTTTTTTCTTAAATAGCAACATTTTACAACACAATAGAACACGATTGGAAGGACATGTCTCGCATATAAATTGGACAACTGTCCAACTATTAATCTTTGGCTAGCCGCGACAAATTTCATTTGATAAAATACTTTCGGTCATGCTTGATTTTCGGACATAATTTTTATTGCCTTTTTGGTTGTTTTTTTTTTGCAGCTGAAATTATGCAAAATTCTCTCTTCGGCATGAAATGTGCGTGTGATTTATTTACGACTGCGATAAAAACTTGCCGGCCTCTTATCACATTTGACATTTGATGGTGATGGTGACAAATTTTCCACGGACAACAAAAGCAACAACAGTCGTCACAGGACAGCTGCACCCTCTCGATGGTTGAAAGGACACGGGCATGTCCTGCACTCAGCATTGTTTGCAGCGAAATTGCAATTCATGCGTCCAAACCCATTCAAGGGCGCCTGAACCACTTTGGTTTAGGGCCTCGCACAGTGGGTCAGCAGCTAAATTCATCGTTCTACTCAGTTTTGGCCGATTGAAAACAATTCTGTACCACTGTGCGTTAGGTCGGGCAACCAACCGGAAACCGGTTATCCATTGAAGTGCGTGCCGTGTGCACCGCAGGACATGCGACGTACCACCTATACGGAAAAAATGATTTATATCTGCATTGCACTTTCTTTGTCCTTACGAAGAGTCCCTCATTTCTGCCCACTGATAGCACTTTCTTCTATGAAATCTATTTGCCTTTCACACTATAAATCTTTTGCCATTTAAAACACAATGACAAGCGTGGTATAGTCCTTGTTTAACCCTTTAACGAGCTAACCGGTTTGCTATGAGAAGGCAATCTAAAAGGAACAATGTAGCAATTTAGAAGTATGTACAGTATGTCAACTAATTGTTTGCAAAATGAAATAAGTCACAAAAATTTAACATCAACATAATTATTTATTAGGAAAGGCACTGGTTTTGAACTTTAGTCTTCCACAATATTATTCATAAGTGTATTCTTAAATCATTTAGTTAACAAAAGTAATAAAAATATAAACAGAAACATAGAAATTCATAAAAAACAAAACAAAAAGCAGCAAATGTAAGGTGTCTATTAAGTGTTTGCAAAATGCAAATATTAATTTTAAAAAGGCTATACCTTTTCAACAAAACCCTATAATTGGCTAACATTTTGTATGCCCGCCATTAGCATCCATAACATCCGTGAGGCGACGCGACATCGAGGATATGAGTGCACCTACATACTTATGTATGTCGTAATACTCGGGTATTTTTCGCCACTCCTCATTTATTGATTTGATCGATTCGAAGTTGGGCGACGTTTGGCCACCCTTTTCTTTAGCAATTCCAACAAATTTTTAATAGGATTGAGATCCGTAGTCGATTTGGCTGTCCCTTTAATTTTTCTATGGTCTTCTTTAAACCAGTGTTTGCATTTTGCAAAGAATTAATTGACAGTGTATACTTGTAAATGTCGTTGTTTTGTTTTATTCATGTCTTTTACGTTTCACTTGGAAATTTCTCTCTGTTTTTTAAATACCCATAGCTTATACATATCTTAATAATAAGTGATATATAAAATGTTCCTAAATAATGCCTTTATTTTTAAATTTTATGTTAAAGTTGTTCTTTCAACCAGTGTTTGCATTTTGCAAAGAATTAATTGACAGTGTATACTTGTAAACGTCGGTGTTTTGTTTTCTTCATTTCTTTTACGTTTCACTTGGAAATTTCTCTCTTTTTTTTAAATACCCATAGCTTATACATATCTTATTAATAATTGATATATAAAATGTTCCCAAATAATGCCTTCATTTATAAATTTTATTTTAAAGTTGACATTTTGTGACAAATTTCTTTTTGCAAACAATTTGTTGACATACTGTATATATGTACAAGTATGTATGTACATACATAATATGTATGGCATAATATGTGTTACATACATATGTATATTTATAACTATA